ATGACGTTCGGAAACTTTAAACGCTTTTTCTCTCGAAACTAGGTTTTTAGAAACGGTGTGCGAGATATCTCGGAGTCTAACCAACCGATTACCGTGAAACTAGGTGCGTATCTTTAGTGTAACATTAACTATGGATTGACGATCGAACATTTTTTAATTTTTAACAATTTCGAAAAATATAAACAAAAAAACGTAGAAATTTTTGGCACAAATTCGATACATCAAAAACAAATAGCTGCTATTTTCATAATTTTCATAAAAATGAAAATGTTGGGTCGTCAAATCCTCGAGAATATTGTTTACTTTTGAACTTTTTTTGCCTTCTTTGTTGCAGCTAATCCTGTTTGGCTGGAATCATGCACACCGATAGGCAATGTAAAAAAAAGTCATGTAAAAGGATGCCGTTAAATAAGAACCCTCTTTTTTTCTCTTTTAATGGTGCATTTTATAATTCATGATGTGTTAAAATAAACCACAATAGCTCATGTCAATCAAATATGTACTTTTCTTTTACTAGCCCTCCAAAGTATATGTAATGTTTAGGCCCGTCACACTATCCTGCCCTGTTAAAAAATGATCACGACGATCGTAAAAATATGTGAATGAAACGCTCGTGCCCTTTCTTGTATCGTAAACTTTCCTCTGCTGCATTGTACTCCATTTACCCCAAGTTTTGCAGTTTATTTGCCGGAGTTAGATAAAATAATCATAATCTATGTATATATATAATTATATATAAAATAAAAATTATATGTCAAAATTCTATTATAATTAAAAATCTTAAATGATAATAACTTTTGATAAATATAATTAAAAAAAAAAAATAATATAATAATAAATTCTTTAATTATATATAATAAATTATATATATATATATATTAGTTATATAATTATATATAAATTAAATTTTAATTTACAAAATTAATGTTTTATTAAACTATATAACTTCAAAAAAATTTTTTTTTAATTATGTATAATTCCCAAAATTATTATCTTTTTTTAACTACTTTTTGAAACAATAAAAATTTATTTTTTATTATGTCAATAAATTCATTTTTTATTTCAATTTTTATATTAAATTTATTACTATTTAAAATTTCTTTTAATCCATTAAATCAATTAATTTATTTTTTCAATTTTTATATCAATTAATATTTATTTTATAGAGGAATAATAATTTTATTTTCTTATCTTATTTGTTTAATTAATTTACAAAAAATAAATTTAAATATTATTATTTCATAATATATATATTTATTTGTTTAATTATATATTATTTTTTAAAATTAAATTTTTTATTCATAATATATACTCGAAGAATCTTACCTAATCGAACGATCGAAGACGCATGTAACTTCGCTTCGGACAGCAAACGCAAATTTTAACTAAAACTGTTCCATGTCAGACTATTAATTCACGTTATATCGTTAATCAATATCGTTGCATTTGCAGAAAGCCACGCTACCGCTCGAAGAATCAGAATCACAGGTGTGACGAACGAATTTTTTCCACGTACTCTCGATCACGATTCGGTGTTCGATTCTGGATCAAACGTTTCAATTTGGATTATATTTATCGGGCGCAATTTACCGTATCGATCCTGTTTACATTTCATGGTGTGCAAATATCACGCGGCGTACCGCGCCGGATCGAACTTCGGCGAAAGTTTCGGAGATTATTTCTCAGGCAGACGAGAGGATTTTTTCCACGTTTCTATTTATTCGAAAATTCGCTCACGACTCGCAACAATCTCGACAACTCTGATACATTTTCGAATGAGATCGAAAGGCTACTCTAAAAAGCATCAACGACGAACAAAGTCTATTCTAAAGACCATTCTTTTGCCATTTACTTTCGTATAAGATCCAACTGAATAAACGATGACAGAAATAAATAAACAGAAGCACATTCTGTTTTCTGTCACGCGTTCTTTCACTCATTTACATATCGCCGATCGTTCAGTACAGCCAGAGAATCATTCGATCGGGGCAACAGACTTGACCCAATTGGCACGCTCTCGCCCTGCGTGACTCTCCCGATCGTCCTTGGCTCGATTCAGGCACAGCCCGATCGCGAGAGATCGCTTTCGACGCTTCATTGTCACCCGGTTGTCCGTCGCTCGCCTTCCACGGTATTCCACTACGCAGGAAAAGAATGAAACCTGAATGCCTGTCGATCGCGCGCAATTTGGTATCCTTGATTTCTGATCGAATGGAAGGATGGTATATCCTTCGACGAATCGCGGCGACGATGTTGTTACGAATATGGAAGAAGACGAAACAGCCGATCGCGATTGGCTGGCGACAAGCTCCCGTAAAAGGGCTTGTCTGCTGTCCTACTTTTCAACGACTGGTTCCCTTCATATGCATACCAGCTCTTTCGTAACACGCTCCGTGGCCACCATATCCAGTAACACCATGCCGGCTGACGTTTGAATCGGTCGTCAAGCTCGGATGGACACGTTCGATTCGAAATTTTTTCGTCGAACTTCTTCGCGGATCGCGCGAGTTCCACTTCTTCCACTCTCCCCGTGTGCCGATTCTTTTTTTCTCCTTAGGCTCTATTTTCAATCGACCAACTCTCCCATTGGAGAAAGGTGTAGATTGGTCGCTGTGTGTTCAACTTTGTCAATTCGTGGAAAAATAGTCTCTCCACGCGCATGCATTTTCACCATTCATAATTCATTCGGTTCTCCATAATTCGGGCCGGGCCGTGGCAATTATATATTATTATATATATAATATATTATATATAATATATATAATATTATTATATATTATATATTATGATATATTATTTATATTATAATTTAATTAAATTAAATAATATTATTTATATTATAATTTATATTATAATAAATAATTATATATTATTGTATATTATTATACATTATTACTTTTTTTGTGAAAAAAGAAGTCAACACAGAGAGGTGCTTTTAATATTAATTATAGGGGAAGAAATGAGTGACAGTGGGACTCGAGAAGCACTCGGAAAAAAAAGAAACGACAGAGCAGAGTATCGTCGTCAAACAGAGGTTTGAGTCTTCGCTAAAGAGAAACGTGGATCGGCCACAGTGTTTAGTTTAACATTTTAACTTTACCAATTTGTGGAGAAATACTTTTCTATAACGTAATTCAGCTTTCCATAATTTACGACCGAACCGCGGCCTCGATTAATTATTACAATACTTTGTCGTATTTTATTACAAAAATATCAATACGGAGGTGCTTTTAATTTTAGTTATAGAAAACGAGCGATGGTGGGACTCGAGAAGCACTCGAAAGAGTGCTAAACTATCGTCGTTAAACAGTGGTTCGAATCTTGTTCAAATTCGTCAAGACACTCGAGTTCGAGGAAGATGAAATCACTTGACTACTACGCTACTAACTTTTCGCCACTACGCACGTCGAGAATTTTTTGTCTCAAGTTGCAACACTTTCTCAGTTCTAGGTATATTTAAATGTAACCCAGGCAAAGCGAATGATAAGTTTATTACCTCTTAATAATTTCTATCCAGTGATATCATGCCGACGAGTTCGAAAGATAACAGAGAGCGACGAATTATTTTTGTACGGCCCGGTCACTCGTTATGGTCCGCGAACCAGTTGCCATTAAATTAATTAATAACTCGAGTAATTTAAACGCAAGAACGGAACGAATCTCGATGCGAGAAATTTTTGAAACGTCGCGGTATCAATAGAACAAGGTATTCAGATGAATTGAAAAAGGCTGGCGTGCATGAGCTGGATGTGACAGGACGAATTCCCTGAAATCGAAAAATCGAGACCGGTCGTGACCGATAGAACAAGCTTAGAATTATAGAATTATAGTAGCTTCGAGGATCATTTTCACAATTCACGTTTCGCGAGTTTTGGCGAAAGAAACAACGGGTGTAATGCTAATAGATCGTTTGCCCTTCCGTTTTAATCTTTCGCGACGCGGTCGCTTGACGCGGCCATTTTGCAATTAAAAATTCGTGGTTAATTAGTATTTAGAGTTTCTACCCGCGTGGCTCTTTGTCCATCGAAACTCGAGAGCCGAAAAAACAACTCGCACGAGCGGATAGCGCCGAGAGAAATTCAAACCGTTAATTTGCATCTTCAACGTCGTCACGTTTTGTATTCCAATCTCGTTAACTCGTCCTGAAACTGGGTCACGTCGCGATGTTCAACCGAAACGAACGTACCTTAACTAAGGAAAATCAAATCTCGTGTTTTTGGATACCGACGTTTCAGCGTGCTTTGATATCGAGAGCACGGAATTTTTCTTGTTCGAAAGATTGTTAATTTCAATTTCGAGATCCATCTGAAATCTTGAAGTTTTAAGACTTAAGGCTTGAGAATTTTCAGAATACAAGATTTGGTGAATACCGAAACTTTGAAATTGAACGTTTGAATGCTGAGACTTGGAAGTTAAGAAATATTTGAATTAAGGTTTGAGGTTAGAAAATTCTCAACTTCAAAATTTAAGATTTGCTGGAATACCAAAGCTTTGAAATTAAACTTTGGAAATTCAAAAATATTTGAACTTTAAAATTTCATAACTTAAGATTTAAGGTTAGAAAATTCTCAACTCCAAAATTCAAGATTTGCTGAATTTTCGAAGCTTCAAACTTAAATTCCGGAAGTTTAAAAATTTGAACTTTAAAATTTCATAACTTAACGTTTGAGGTTAGAAAATATTCAACTCCAAAGTTTAAGATTTACTGGATTATCGAAGCTTTGAAATTAAACTTTGGAAATATTTGAACCGTAAAATTTCATAACTTAAGGTTTAAGGTTAGAAAATTCTCAACTCCAAAATTTAAGATTTCCCGAAGCTTTAAAAATTTCAGAAGTTTAAAAATTTGAACCTTAAAGTTTCATAACTTTAGGTTAGAAAATTCCAAAGTTTAAAATTTGATGGATACCGAAATTTCGAAATTAAACATCTCGAAACATTAAAACTTGGAAGTGAAAAATTTCGGAAAAATTTAGAAATTTGACGAGGAAAATTCTTACCCGCAAGTGCAGAGCTCGCAGATGCATTGCTCCTTCAAAGGGATCTTGGACAGTATATCGGGTAATTTTCCAGGCTGGACATCGTCCTCTTCGAGGGAGTCAGGCGACTGATCTCCTCTCCTCGGTTTGTCATCGGGTTTTCTCGGTTTATCCTCCGGTCGGCTTGGTTTTCCAGCTGCTGGTCTTTCGTCCGGTTTCTCAGGTCTCTTTGGTTTCTCGCCGGGTCGTGTAGGCTTGTCGGCACTTGGCGTCGTCTCGTCGGCACGTGGTACCTTGCCAGGTCTCTCCTCGGTGCGACTTAGTTTCTCTGCCGCGGGTGATGGTTTTCCTGCCGGGGATACATAGTCGCGAGTCTTCCCTGGAGATTGTGGCCTGGCGCCAGTATATCTGAAACCAAACACTCCGTACGTTTAATAATTTATTTTGCGATTTGAAAACTTCACTTGGAAAGGAAGTCGAAATTACAAAACATTTGCCATCTTGAGAAAGGCTTTTTTTTGACTTGCCCAGAATAATGATTCATAGAGCTTAAATTTTCCAAGCTTCGAAGATCAATTTTAAAAAATTTTAAGACTAATATTGGGTTGAAAATAATTTCTAACAGCGAAGCTTTGAGACTTAGCTCTTGAAGTTTATATCGTGAATAATATGCCATATATAACATTTGACAGCCTACGATATATTGTTTATAATAATCATCATAGGCTGTCAAATACATATATATTTGTTTATAATAATCGGTATAATTTAGACAGCACGATTTTTCGAGGATTTCAGCTTTTGAAGCTATTGAGGTTCAAACTGTGTAAGCTTGCGGCTCTAATTTTTCAAGATGTAGGCTCAATGCTTCAGCAACACTTTTCGAATTTTAAGCTATCTTTTCTTTATATAACGTAACTTAGGAAGAAAATCAAAGTTAGAGAAAAAAACATTTCGTTGACTTGTCTAAAACTCTAATAAGTGACATGTATATAATATTAGATATATATTTTCACATAATATATAAAAATGTACAACACCTAATCTAATCTCTTTTCGACAAAACAGTCGCGGGAGTATCTGCGAACTTTGCATCAATACCAAGTAACGGACAAATCAGTTTATCCACGTGCATGTTGCAAAAAAGAAACTTAAAACTGTTCAACTTAAAACTGAAAGATAATGGCAACATCTTTATATTTCGACGTCCGATCGTCGAACACTTTCTCTTCTAAACTCGTTTGTCAAAGCCTTCCGATCAGGAACAGTGCACAAGTATACACGCTGAATACACGAATTTACAGAATGCCCCGAAGCTCCCGCGCTGCTCGACTTTAATTGAAAACAGTTTGAAATTTCAATATTTGCCAAGCGCCGAAACGCCAGCGCCCGCTTTCTATATGCGCATCGACTGCCACCGGCTCGACGTCCTCGAAAGACGGAGCAATTGCAAACACGCTCGAGCCAACAATTTTCCAACGCTAACCACACCACGCTAACTATACCAACCTCTGTTCCCGTTGCGGTGGCCGGCTAGGCTTCCCAGCGGCTGGAATCGGTTTTGGTCGATCGTCCTCCCGCAATCCGGGGATCCCACGCGGGTAACCAGGTCGTTCTTCCGGCGACTCTTTCCGCGGCGATAGGCCGGCTGGCGACTTGGGCGTCGATGTGACGAACCCGTCGAACTTGGCGTCGTCGACGACATCCCGCGCTACCATACTAGTCACCTGCTCTTTGTCGATGAGCTCGACCGTTGATGACCCAGTGACATCTCTCTGCGAACGTGTCGGAGTTTAGACGAAGGAAACAATGGATACGGCTGGATTTAGGCGAATGAAGCTGGTTTTAAAACGAAGGTGAATTGTCTTGACGACGACGCGGACGACGTCAACGGCGGAGAAAGGTCGATGAAGTTAGAAACTAGTTATTAGCGGGGAGCTGACGTGTTGAATTCAATTAATTCGAGTGGCTGTGCGCGCAGTTAATATAACCATAGATGACTCTCTGCAGGGTGGGGGTGGGGGGAGGAGGGGAGAGATTATGCACCTGCAGAGGGAAGTGTCACCTGTTCCGACGTGCTAACGTAAATTAGAGCGTATCGTAATGTTATTAGTCTGAGTGTCACTCCGTCTAATGGATAGTCCATTTCAAACTTAACGGAATAACTCGCGACGTTAAATTGCTTAATGTTTTTAAACGCGTGCGAGCGTTGAGTCTTATGGATCTTGAACGGTTCGGTCGCTTTTAACCCCGGGGACAGGCGCTCTCTCTCTCTCTCTCTCTCTGCCTGGCTAAATAAATTTCCCTCCCAGAGCAATTTCGTTGCGCTTTATCAAGGAGCCTCGGCCCTTCGTCACGCGCCCCCGACGCTGCAGACAATTACCGGAGGATTCTGCTAATCAAAACGGTTATCACCTTACTAATTACAAGTACTTTCACGGCTGGCACAAAAGCAGCCGCCATTATTCTCCAAATGGCTCGTAACGCTCGCTCGCCTCTCGCCCTATCTCTCCTCGCGCGAGCGTCGCGCTTAATTATAAACGAAATAAACCCCGCGTTACGACGATGATCGTTAACAACGGCATTTCAACCGAAAATTCTCACCGGAATGGAATTCTCGTCCAAATAATCCCACCTCCACGGGGCCAAAGTTCACGACTTGCCGCTGAGTCTCATTATTATCTCGGGATGAGAAAGAAAAAAATTTTAAAGTTGGTTGAATTGAATTCGAACGATCGAAGGAACACACGCAGTGAAAACTTTCAAATTTCCGGCACGTTGGCATTTCACGCGCCGGAGTTCACTCTCGAACTCGGAGCTAAACACAAATTCACAAACGTTTCATAGTTACAACCCGAGCCCGCAAACTGTGTGGGAAGTCTTAACACACGCGAGGGGGGAGGGGGGGGGGGAGACAAATATTCCCATCCGAGGGCGGAACAATTAATCCGCGCTTGGTAGAAAATTACTACGTTGCTCGATCGCCGGTTGAAGATGCGCGGCTTGCCCGACCGATACCCTACCATTCACACAGTTGGTACCCCGATCGTTCGGATTCGCTGGGACGTAACCTTTTGTTTCGCTTCCGCCTCGCGCCAATGATTTCCGATTAAATCAACGAGTCGTGATTTAAACCGATGTTATAAACTGAACACCGTCGATTTTCTGTGTATTCTAGGACTTCCGACAACGAAATTAACGAGACGAGAGCTTGTTGATTAATTACATATTCGTTCCTCGCCGAAAGTTTCTTCCCACCTATTCTTTTTTTTTTTTTTTTTTTTTGTTTTCTGTTTTTTAACGAAACATCAAAATATTTAAATTGCAATTTAAAATTAAATTACTTCCTGAACTGTTTTCAAAATTATTTCTTTCGAATGTCGATCGGAGCAAATTAAACAAAAGAATGATAAAAAGAAATTCCGGATTTCATTTTAGTAGAAAGTGAGGTTTTCGTCCACCCTGTAGATTCAATCGTAAATAGAAAAATTTTGTAATTACGATTCGTAATATCTTCGAAAAGAATATTTTGTCTTTGGAATATTTTGAAAGTTCATCCAGGTTCATTGTTGTATAAGTTTCTTTTACAAGATTGTACAACAATTTAAACATCAACACGAGTAACTGCATGTGTCACGAAAAATTTGCTTGCTCCCCCCCCCCCCCCCCCCTCCGACAATTTTCTACTGCCCGCCTGTACAAAACAGTGACTGAAAACCGGAATATTTTGAGATTTAGGTATTATACTCAGAGACTAAAACCGAAACATTGTGAGGTTTAGGTATTATACCGGTATTTGCTCCCATATTATCGTAATATAACTGCCATTTGGGAAATCGATTTTAATACCGGTATAAGACGGTCATACTGATATTTTCATACGTATTTTATCGGTATTTGATGTCCATAACGGTAAAAATACCGAAATATATACCGGTACGGTATCGCTTTACTAACGAAAACACATTTTTCATTTTCTACGTACAGTGACTCTTATTAATATTCGGGCATCGTGCTATTCAAACTATTGTTGTGGATTTCGATCGTTTATAATAGTAAATTTGGATTAATTTTTTAATAATATAATAGAACATTCATTATAGTTTATAGTAACATAAATTTTATT